GGCAGGATACTTGATCACACTGTGAACCTCAAGATTGTATTATTTACTGGAAAAACCTGTTTCTAATTGTGGTGTGGCTCAGCCCTGCCACATACCTTTAATCCAAGAGCTTTCTGCTTGAATATTGTAAATAGGATTAAATAAAGTCAACCACAGGTTAAGACCGGAGCAAGCAACCAGTTGAGTTGGGAGGACCGATAGAGAGACGCGCAGGAAGTGGAAGCGAGGGCCACTCAGTTTGAGGACTCTTGTTTGAAATGGCACAGGAAACGGCTCTTTCTGGGATGTTGGTGGAGGAGGAGGGTCAGCCAGGTGCTTTCTCTGCCTCTCTGAGCTAGCAGGCTTTCACCCCAGCATCTGGCTCCTGAGTCTTTATTGGTGAAATTGAACAATTGAAATTTTGTTAAAAACAACATGCATGGATTATAATTTTCCTTTTACTCATCTGCTTTTTTAAATCCTACATTAGCAGTTCTTTGTTACAATGGATAAGCCAATACTGATACACTATAATTGACTGAGTCCATAATTTATGTTAGATTTTACTCTTTCTATTGTGGGTGTTGACAAATATATATGGACACAAAGTCACTCCCTCCATAGTTTTGCCTCTTGGAATGGCATGTAATTAGCATTATGGTTATAAAATATTTCCTGGAGGAATGTGTGACTATTTCCCCAGAAACTGAAGAATTCTCTCCTGTAGGGAGAAGGGAGTCTCGTAAGACTCAGGAAGTTTGCGTGACTTTGACAACTCACTAGGGCTACTTCTCCAAGGTAATAAGATTAGCAACAACAGCTGGAGGAGAGAAAGCAGAACTCTCTGAAAGGTGTGTGGGGAGCCCAGGGATGTGGCTTGTGTGGGTCACCATTCATGCTGGGGTGGAGATTTTGTTGACATAACTGCCTATGAGTCAACCATGCCCTGCAAGGAACCCCTGTAAACCCGACGGTTCCTAAACTAGACTTGTGTGGAATGCCTCCTTTGGTCTGTCATCAGTGGCCTGTCTAAGATCGATAGACATGTGCTCACTTCTCCCCAAGGTAAGTCTCGAAATACCTCCACAGACATATGCTGAACACGGTCTCCAACAAGTGGCACTGTTCCAGGAGGTTCCCAGGAAACTGTCAGAGGCAGGGCCTCATTGGAGGACAAGGTCACTGGGGTGTAGCCTCAGGCCATATTTTACCTCGGTGCCTGCCTCTCTGCCACCCTGGTCCCACCTTACCGTGGTCCCAGAGCCAGGGAAGCCAAGGACTATGGTCTGAAATAGTTCCTTTCTTCCCTTCCAGCTTTCTCTTGGGTATTTTGTCAAGGCAAAAAGAGCCAATTGATAAAGAAAATCAGTACCAAAGAAGCGGGGTTGCTACAGCAGCCGTCTGCAATGTGCCTCTTAAGCGCTTGGAGCCGGTTTGCAGAAGGAATTTGAAAGCCTTTGGAGAATGCAGGCTGGGAAAAGCTTAGGCTGCAAAAGGTAATGGGCGATCCTGGGGTCAGAGCTTAGAGTGCTGGTAGGAACACAGATTGCCTAGGTAGCAATGAGGACTCTGTTGAGAACTGGACTAGAGGCCACATGGGCTACAAATGGCAAGGTCACGGGAATGGGACTTGCCATGCTGGTGACCAGAGATGGCTGTCTAAATCAGTTTCCTGCTTCCCAGTATCTTGTTCAAATTTGAGGCAAACTGTGTTAATTTAAGGGGACAGTCGTTGGGAATTTGTAACCAAGCATTGGAAACTCTTGACTCATCAGAAGCTTCCAACATTAGAGATAAAGACACACAAAGATGCCAACTCTGTTCCTATTGCAGTGAATAATTAAAGCAGGGAGCATTCACACGTTAGATTTCTCTACAGCTGCTACATTCAGTGAAGTAAAATCCTTTCAGGTAGTGGCATCTATTAGTAGAATGATCACAGACACTGCAAAGAGTGTGTTGGGGTGCTATTTGAGTCTACGTAGATTCGCACATGTGAGTACACAGGAAGCACCCCAACAGCACACAGCAAGTGGTGAACTCTGGGCGGAAGTGGAGGGGGAAGGGGAACCTTAGGGTGTGTGGGTGTGTGTATGTGTGTGTGTGTGGGGTGTGTGTGTGTGTGTGTGTGTGTGTGTGTGTGTGTGTGTGTGCCTTCCTTCCCCTGGGACTTGGATTAGAGTGAAGGCATTCCCTGCCAACTCAGCTTGGGGAGCCCTTGAGGTCAGAGAACACTCCTCTTCCAGGAACACTCCTCTTGTCTCTGAGGTTCTTGCAGCAGATCCAACCATCCAGACGGCAGCCAGCGAGGGTCCTGCTTCCTGCCTCTTCCTCCCTCACTCTCAACACCCGTGTGTCATGGATGGTCTTCGGGGACTCACACCTTGCTTCCTCCAGACCCTCCCGGCTCCCTTTCTTTTGCCTCGGTTCCAAATAACCAGATCACATGACTTTCAAGTATCATTTCTTTCTTTCTTTCTTTCTTTTCCTACTCCATTCCAAGGGCTGAAATTTATAACAGTTGCAGTGATTATGGAGAAAGCTGGAATCTCAGCCTTCCCAAAGTGTGGGACAATAAAGCCACCCCTTTCTGTTTTCCCATAACTCCTCCTCATGTTAGGGGTTCTGTTTCTCTTCTTGTTTCAACATCCCCAGTGAAGAAGTTGGGATGATGAAGAAGTTGGGGGGGGGGACAGGGGAGACAGGGTGGAGCAGGCTCCTAATGGGTGATATTGCGCCCCTTTTCACACGCCCAGCGGTTCACCTGGCGACAGAAGTTGTCATTCCAGCTGCCATCGGAGAACATTTCGACACAGTCTTCACTTCCGCCCTCTTCATGGCCTTGCCAGTTATCTGGCTGAGTGGAGGCCCAGTTCCTAAGAAGGCAAACCAAAGAACACTCAGGGTCCAACCTCCCTACAACCCTGCCTCCCACCCCAAAAAAAGCACAGCCTTGGAAGGGTTCAAGGGTTGATGATGAACAAGCTTGGAAGTGGGGGCGTGGAGAAGGAGAAGGTTGAGGAAATAGGCCCCTGCGGGACCTGTAGGTGAAAGGCCAGGTGGTCATCCCTGGAGCAAACAGTAGGAGATGCACGCGGGAGGGAGGTACTGACTTGTAGCTGTTCCTGTATTCGGTTCCGTCCACCCATTTCCAGGAGCCGCCCCTGTCCGTGAGACCTATCCAGGTGTGAAACGAGCCCGTGTGCTTCACCACGAATTTCTAGAAAAACAAACGTGAGGGCAGAGTGCTTCATCCCTCATCCATGAGAGCGTGCTTGTGACCCCACCCCACCCTCGCCTGACCTGCCCCATGCTGAAGCCTCGGCTCCCAAAGGCTACCCTGGCTTTTCCCTCTGCCAGCAGAGCTAGTGTTAAGTGAACCTTTACTGGGCTTGACTTTGGACCAAGTGCTTTGCAAGAATCATCTCATTTGAGCCTTAGTAGCTCTCCAAGTTGGGTGCCATAGAAACTCTCACTTTGCAAGGTACATATGAGAACCCAGAAAGCCAATCCGGTATCTAGCTTGTGACAACATCCTGCTCCCAGCCTGGGCCCGCTTCCCACTCCATGCCTAGCACTGTTGCTGTGTCAACACGATCTTCCCATCTTGTGCACCAGAATCTTGGTGATCCTGCCCTTGCTGTCCCACAAGTCCCAGAACCCATGAAACACCCTGGTTTCATTCTTCTCTCCATTGGCCCCTAGCTCTCTTGCGGTGATGTGGATGTCATTTCCTGAGCTTGGCTGGCTCCAGCACTTCCAAGCTTGGCCTCACCTTCCAGAACTACATTTGGACCTGACCACATGGGGCCTGACAGTCTCTACTGAAAGTAGGAAGATGCCTGGGTAAAAGGCAGCCGGCTCAGTCAGGAAACTGTCAGGGCTTCCGTGCAAAGGCCCCCGCACTTACAGATGGCTCCTGAGGACTAAAACCTTTGCAAGGGTTTACAAATGTGGCTGTTCCCGGCAATCTAAATCCCATCTTTTTGGATGGTTATAAGGGAACATATGGTCACCTGGTTTTATAAAATAAGCAGGATCAGTTTGACCAGCATACACTCTAATAATCTCATTCGATAGCATGTGAAGAGTTCCCACCTGCATTTGGAGAAAAACTGCCCAATTCCACTCACACTCCCCAGAGACCACAGTTGCTCATCCAAGAGCAGACAGGAGCACCCATAAAGTCTAGAATTCTACATGTGTGTCCAGTTCGTGAAGAAGCAGCCACCCAGGCTGGTAAGGCTGCTCCACAGATTCAGAAGTATCAACAGGGATGGGGTGAAGGGACCTGGAGACGGGATATTCTGGTTGTTGCTACCTGATGCTGTAGCCATGCTTCCCATCACAAAGAAACTGAATAACTAAAGACAAATGCACACGATCAAAACCCCCAAGCTCAATGCTGAGAGGAGTCAAATAGTGCTAGATGACCAAATAATAATAATAATAATAATAATAATAGTCCCGATCATCGTCTGCCCTTCCCTACGTGAACACAGAAGGAACGGCACCCCTTCACAACAGTGACAGGAGAGAAGATATCATGGAACTCATGCCCCACCCCAAAGAGGAGCCTGAGTGTTTACATGACAAGCAGCTATGGCCTGTGCACCAACAGTTGAGCATAAAAGTCATTTGTCCCCAAGACCACTGAATGGGTCATTTTTTGAGGACAACGTACTTACTTTGAAAGTAAGAGGCATGGGGTTGACATTTGTTACCCAAGACTGAGAACCACTAATTTAAAACACAGAGACCCAAAAATGGCTGGAACTGAAATGATGGACAGAGACTTGAAAAAAAAATGCAAGGACCACACCCTGTATGTCAGCCAAAGATGAGTTCAAGGCCGGAAGTGTTAAGTGGGATGTTCAGAATGATGGTAGCACAGTCCACCACGAAGCTGTAGTCCTGAACTCATGAGCCAAATCTGAGGCTGAATTACATAAAACTGATGTTTTCATATGTCAAAATGAACTAAATACTAGCAACTTCAACCTAATCAGTAAAGCAAAATATGTTTGAAACTACTATGAAAATCACTTCCATAGCCTGACAAATACTCCATAAATACATTCTGACTTCTGTATCAAATGGTTTAATTGCTTTAGCATTGTAACGCTTCCAAATCCAAACAGAACAAAGCCCCCATAGACCGTTTAGTACTAGGGCGGCAGGCAGTTGAAAACACTGGACAAAGAGGCCACGTGGGTCGCAATCCTGACTCCACGATGACTTGCTGGCTCTGTGCACATCACTTGACCTCTCTCTTCCCGGGTGTCCTGAACTCCAAGTGGGAATGATAGGGGTGCCCCCCCAATGGGGTAGTGAGGATTAAAGAAATGAACTCATGAGCATGTCCAAATTGCAGTGAGAACTGCAGCCAATGCAGTCATTACCCTCCTTGTGCAAAACTGTTGCCCCCACCCTACCAGACGGGTCCCCTCCGTGAACTCCGGTTTTCAGGTTACTGTCTGGGGACAGACACCAGTGGGAAGGGAAGACACGAGACACCGCTGGTCAGTGAGGACCCAGATCCACTGCGGGAACGCAACTGAAGTCTTCCCATTGTGTTCCTTCGGCCACACCCCACAACCGACACGGCAAGAAGGAACTCTCAGACCCTCCACTGGATTGACTTCCAAGTCTTCTAGCATTCTGTCCTGGGGCTGTCTCTGCATCACCTGGTCCTGGCCCCTGGCCCCTGCCTCTGCTGACCCCCGGCTCCTGCCTCCCCTGGCCCCCGGCTCCTGCCTCCCCTGGCCCCCGGCTCCTGCCTCTCCTGGCCCCCAGCCCTTGCCTCTCCTGGCCCCCAGGTCCTGCCTCTCCTGGCCCCTGGCCCCTACCTCTCCTGGCCCCCGGCTCCAACCTCTCCTGGCCCCCGGCCCTGCCTCCTCTGGCCCCCAGCTCCTGCCTCCCCTGACCCCCGGCCCCTGGCCCCCGGCCCCTGCCTCCCCTGGCCCCCGGCTCCTGCCTCCCCTGGCCCCTGGCCCCTGCCTCCTCTGGCCCCCGGCTCCTGCCTCTCCTGGCCCCAGGCTCCCACTTCTTAGGACCAGTTACTGTTCTACCCTGAACCGCCCAGAGCCCTACGACACTCTTCTGTGTTCTTCCTTAGGTGAAATAAGAGCTGCATGCAGGAAGAAAACTGCTCTACCTCCCTCAGCAGCCAATAGTCCTTCGGCGAGGGTTGAGGCTTCCATCCATCCTGGGATCTAGGTTAGCTTGATCTAGTGAAGGTCTCGTGCCTGAAACTACTGCACATGAGCACACATGAATACTGCACGTTCACGTGTGCAATGGCCCTGTCATGTCCAGAAACACTGTTTCCCACCAGTCCTCCACAGCTCTGACTTTAGCCCCTGACTGGACGCTCACGCTCCAGCGGATGGCCCTATACCCATGCACATACTAGAAATCCAGCTGGACTCATTGGGTTTTAAAAAAAGAAGAAGTAACCGCTGAGCTAAAGCCATTCCAGATAAAGCACAGGGACAAATAGCCAAACAAATGGAAACACGTGAACTATGAACCAAAGGCTGAGGGGCCCCCAACTGGATCAGGCCCTCTGAATAGGTGAAACAGTTGATTGGCTTGATCTGTTTGGGAGGCATCTAGGCAGTGGTACCAGGTCCTGTGCTCATTGCATGAGTTAGCTGTTTGAAACCTGGGACTTATGCAGGGACGCTTGGCTCAATCTGGGAGGAGGGGACTGGACCTGCCTGGACTGAGTCTACCAGGTCGATCTCAGTCCTTGGGGAAGGCCTTGCTCTGGAGGAGGTGGGAATGGGGGGTGGGCTGGGGGGGAAGGGGAGGGGGACAGGAGGGGGGAGAACAAGGGAATCTGTGGCTGTTATGTAGAACTGAATAGTATTGTAAAATAAAATAAAATAATAAAATAATAAAAAATAAAAAAAGAAGAAGGACTCCGGGCAGCGGAGACACACGTCTTTAATCCCAGCACTCGGGAGGCAGAGTCAGGTGGATCTCTGTGAGTTCAAGGCCAGCCTGGGCTACAGAGTGAGTTCTAGGAAAGGCTTTAAAGCTACACAGAGAAACCCTGTCTTGAAAAAACTAAAAAAAAAAAAAAAGAAGAAGAAGAAGCAGGAGGAGAGGAAGAGGAGGAAGAGGGAGGAGAAGGAGGAGAAGAAGGAGGAGGAGGAGGAGAAGAAGAAAGGGGAGGAGGACGAGGAGGAGGAGGTGTGAACTTGGGAGGGCATGTGATATGTGATACAGTGGTTCTGGTAGAATTTGGAGGGAAGGTCAAGGAGGGAGTAGATTAGATCTGAACACATTGTATAAAAGTATGACATTCTAAAAGGATAATGAAAGAAGAAGAAGAAGAAAGCAATCAAATTAAGTAAATAAATAAGAAATACAAGGGCCAGTGAGATGGCTCAACAGATAAACACAAGCCTGATGACCTGAGTTCAATCTCCAGAACTCACCTAAAGGAAGAAGGAGACGACCAGCTCCACAAAGTCATCTTCTGACCTCCATAAGCATGCCATGGCATACACACTCAATAATAATAACAACAACAATAATAATAAAAGTAAATAATACTAGGTAAATAACAGAAGCTTGACCAGGCTGCTTGATCAAGCCTACCTTCAGGTTTGCTCACCTGCTCCTCCCTGGAGTTGATGACCAGCAGGTGGGCACTCTCTAGCTGGCAGTACTCAGCAGCCTCAGCCCAGGTCAGCCCATCCTTCGAAAACCAGTAGCAGCTATCCCCATGCTCCACCCAGTTAACAGGGCAGCATTCTGTGCCTGAGGGGACAGAAGGGCAGAGGGAAATGAGATCCAGCTGGAGGAGACAGACACTCGAATCAGAGCCGTCCCTGACCCGTCCCCCACCCCCGTCCCTACCATTGCTCTGGAAGAAGGCCAGCTGACAGCTCAGGGTTCGAAAATCCAGCGGGAAGTGCTTCAGGTGCAGGAGCAAGGTGGAGTGGTCTAAGGGACAAACACATGGACAGAGATGCAGCGGACGTGCGGCTCCATACCTGCCAAGACCAGGCACAGAACTCCAGCTACCGTCCGGGGAACACACAGATACACACCACGCCACACATCACCATCACCCAGAAGTGGGGATTGGGGAAACACACAGATACACACCACGCCACACATCACCATCACCCAGAAGTGGGGATTGGGGAAACACAGATACACACCACACTACACATCACCATCACCCAGAAGTGGAGATTGGGGAAACACACAGATACACACCACACATCACCATCACCCAGAAGTGGGGATTGGGGAAACACAGATACACACCACGCTACACATCACCATCACCCAGAGTGGAGGTTGGGGAAACACAGATACACACCACGCCACACATCACCATCACCCAGAAATGGGGCTTGGGGGTGACCTCTGACCTGCTCTCAGGTCCTGCTGCTTTTTCTCCAGTGTGGCTCCCCAGGACGTCAATTTGTCATCTCTGCTACCTCCTGAGAGAAGGAACGGTAAATGGCTTCCCCGTCCGTCTGCCTCCCGAACGCTTCTCCAGCTGCCCACTCCTGGGTACCCAGAAGGTTCTGTTACCTTTCCCCACATGCTGCTCATCTCTGTCTAGACTCCGAGCCTCACCCAAGTGAGGCCGCTGTGAGGCTTAATTCCCTCACTGGCTCCCCACGTTTTCAGGCCCCACTCAGTCCACACAGCTTGCTGTGTGACCTGACCCCTCCGTCTCTCTGACCCATCACCGCTGTCCATCAGTCACCACCTCCAGCCACACGGAAAGTATACACAGTCCTAAAATGTTGAGTGGTCTTCTTCACCTTTGGCCGTCATGGCTTCTTCTTGTCTCTGCCTGGCACTAACCGCCACCATATCACCTTGTGCCCAGATTCACCCTCCAAGTCCCTTTGGTCAGGAACCATGTCTCCAGAAGCCTTGCCAGTTCCCCTGGCTGGATCGTCTCCCTGGATTTTATCCCCACGGCCCATGAACATACTCCTCCTGCAGACCCAGCACCATGCCCAGCAAGTCTGGATGGATAAACATACGTGGATAAAGCGTTCCTATGGATAAAGTCCCAGTCACCTTGCCCAACTCACCGTGGGAATCCAGAGCCCTGAACTCCATCAGGGTGCTGGCGGAGAAGTTGCTGAAGTTTTCTTTCAGGGTCCGAAACTCCTCTTGCAGCCGCATGCCTTGTCAGGGGACATTTGGGACCAGTTAGGTGTGGGGCTGTGTCACAGTGTCATATCACCGTCCTTGTGACTGGCCCCATATAACCCATCACTACTACCATCAATGATGCCGTCGTTTCCACACCATTGATTTCCGTCCGCACCCGGACCCTGCCGCCCCAAGCTGCCTCCACCTCTTCTCCTTTCCCTCCCCCCTTCTGTGGCCCGCCACTCCCCAGAGCACTTCTCTATCCTGGCCTCATCCCTGCCAGCCATGACCTCACTTTGGGATGAAATCACACAGACGACCACCAGCAGCAGGACGTTGAAGGCCAGGGCAAGCAGACTGAGGTAGAGCCTGAAGCTGAGGCACTGTGGAAAGGGCGGGGAAGGAGGCTGCCCTGTGAGAGAGAGAGTGTGTGTCAGAAAACAGTTCCAGAGGACGGGAGACAGAGAACAAGACTCAGAAGGAAACATGGGGCACGTGAGTCTGAGGAGGCACAGCCTGGGTAAGGGAGAAAATCAGGTGGGGGCTGAGGGAATTGGATGGATTTTGATTCTGTACACACACACACACACACACACACAGAGTTACACAGAGTTACACACACACACACCACACACACACACACACACACCACACACACACAGAGTTACACACATGCATCCACATGAACACGTACAAGCACTCACTTGCACATGCTACAAGATGAACCAGCTGTATGCACAGGTGAGATCTTACACCTGGGGGCACGGGGACACAGAGAAGATGGGGTGCAGAACTAGCCTTTCCTAGACACCCTAAAAAAGGAGGTCTACCGATGGTTCTTCTTCCTGCCCATGGGTCAGAGCTACAGATCACCTCTGTCCTCCCACGGCCCCTGTCCCTTCAGACTGGAGTGTTGACAAGGCTAGACCAAGTGTTCTTCTTAGACAATACCCACATCTGTCACACAAGCCCCATACTGGAACAAGGCCTTCCTTCACAGTTCCCCTGGGATTCTCCAGTCCGACTCAGCCCACCATAAAGTATGCCCCAAAAGCCACTGCCCAGGTCCATCCACCTTACCCGTCTCCCCGCAGCTCCCACCTCCCCTGTTCTCATCCCCAGAAACCCAATGTCACTGGCAGAGCTGTCCCTTTGTCCTTCCATCGTCTCTCAGTGGCCTCTCCTGTGCCTTCATCCATCTGCCCCACACTCACACCTTCCTCTTTTTACTCCAACAAGCACACAGACTCGAAGACTTGTGCACACATCCATACACTTTGCCACACAGTTGCTTGCAACCTCACGCACCTGTATCTTCACCTGCATGAACTGGCTGGCCTCTCCGCAGCCAGAGGCTGACTCCTCTCAGCCCCCCCCCCCCCTTGCTTTTGTACCGTCCACCTGCACCCAGACTCCTCTGCATCAGCCTGCGGCTCTGTAGTCTCCCCTGTGTCCATGTCACCATGCCAAAGCAAGCTCACATCCAGGGGATCATCTCAGTCAGGAGCCAGGAATCCTCCTGGGGTCATTTCCCACTGCTATACTGAGTCAGACGTTTGCAGCCATACTTAGGACCCCAACTTAACCTAGATAGAATATGCCTCTGAGTTCTCCCCAACCCCAAACCCTAAGCACAGCCTCCCCTGCCTCTCACCGCCCCTGACACCCTTCCGAAATCTGCATTCCTCTCTGCTGTGATTGGAACATTACAAACATGTGCCCCCAACATTATCCCCAGTGCAGCGGTGTTGGGGGTAGGACCTAGTGGAAGGTGGGTAGGTCTTGAGAACTCTGCCCTCTTGAGTGGATTGTTGACATCATTGCAAGAGAGCAGCCTTATTAAAAGCTAACGGGGACAATTGGGGTCCAGCCCCCTCGATAGTCCTCTCCCAGGGTCCAGGAAAAATCCACGACCAGCTGATAATCTAATCTTGGACGATATTAAATGAATCTATGAACACGAAACTCTTTCGGCCACACACTTTATTCTTCTGAGTCAGTTCTCTCTCTGCACGGCTTCTGTTTTGCTCTTACTCAGCTCTTTCTTGCCTGATTTCTCTCTACATTTATATGCTGTTCCCCCATTTAATTCCTTCCTCTAATTCTGGCCCCATCTTGGTTCTCATCCATCTGGTTCTTCCTAATCTTAGCTCCTCTTCGTCCTTAGTTCCTCTCTATAATCTTCTAAGTTCTCTCTCTCATTCTTTTTTGTTTGTTTTTGTTTGGTTTGGTTTGGTTTTCCAAGACAGGGTTTCTCTGTGTAGCTTGGTGCCTGTCCTGGATCTCACTCTGTAGCCCAGGCTGGCCTCGAACTCACAGAGATCTACCTGCCTCTGCCTCCCGAGTGCTGGGATTAAAGGCGTACGCCGCCACCGCCAGCTCTATAATCTTCTAAGTTCTCTCTCTCATTCTTTCCCATCTCCTTACTTCTTCCCATCTTATTCTTACCCACCTAGTTCTTCCCCATCTGGCTCTTCCTCATCTTCCATTTCACTCCTCTAGGCCTCTCCTCTAGCCCTTCAATCTAGTTCTTCTCTAATCTAGTTCTCTTCAATCTAGTTCTTCTCTAATCTAGTTATCCTCTATCTAGTTCTCTTCCAGTCTAGTTCTTCCCCCACCTCAGTCTGTTCCTCTCCAGTTCTTATCCATCTAGTTCTTCCAATCTCTTTTTTCTTCTCTATGCCTGCTCTGAAAATAAAACTGCCCTTTTATCCCTTTGGCCCTTATCTCTCCAAGCTATCTCTGCTCCCGTCATTTCTGGCAGGGCAGGGGAAGTATTCTTGGTCACTAGGCAACTTGGCTAGGCAACTTCCGTCACAGCTAGATGGTACCTGTAAATTGGAACTCTTTAGTTCTGAGTTAATTGTTAAGGGTGGATCTAAAACTAGAGATAAGACTTTGGAAAGGAGAAGGTTAAGCTTAATTAGCACATCTGCCAGGCCTTCTCAAACAGGTAGTCTGGATGCTTAAGTCTGTTCTAGAGAGTCCAGAGGTATCTCTGATAAGATACTTTCATCCGTTTGGGGACGGTCCTGGCTGGATGCTGCTAATGACGATAATTACAGAAAGGCCTGGAATTAGGCATCCTAGTTGCGTTACTGCACAGAAGGTTATCTAAATATTCCATTAGTAGAGGGGAAATTGTGCCTAATAAATGATGGAAAGCTACAACAGTACATGAGAAATTCATAGCAGGGAACGGCTAATAATCAAAAGCCAATATCACAAGGCTCCTTGAGCCTCAGCTCGACCTCTGGAAGGCCCTTGGCTTCTTCTAGGTACAGCTTTGTCGCAGTCAGCTGAAATCCTACTTCATATTATTGCGGCTTGCAGCAAAAAGCTTCCCTCTTTGCTGTCCCTTTCACCCTCCCCACGCCCTCCCACTTTGGGTGACACATGAGGAATCCCTACCAGACACAGCCCTCAGTCCCGGGCTTCCCAGACTCAAGAAACGTGAGCCAACACATACCTGTTCATTCTAAGTTTCTTAGTCTTGAGCATTCTGTTTTAGCAGCACAAGACAGACTGGGAAATGCCCCATCTAGAAACACTTTCTGACCGGTCTCCCCAGATGGAATCCACATCTAAAGCCCCGACTACTTCTGCTGGAACTGTCATGCAGGAAACCCTTGTCCTGATCCCCAATTGACCTGTGACTTATCAAGCCCCAAGCCAGTCAACCCAGAGTAAGCCAGCCGAGCCACCAACTAGGTCTGACACCATGGGCAGGCCATTCCATCACTTAGTGTCCCCTTTTTTTCATGTATAAAATGACAGTGACAAGTGTAGCCTCCTGACATAGTGGTTCTGAGAATTATATGAGTTAAAACATAAAGCTCTGTGTAGGCAAGTTTGAAATGCTCTACTCAAGATGGAATGGAAGCTGCCAGATTTAACATTCTTTCAGAAAAATCAATTAAAACACACATACACACCGGGCGGTGGCGGCGGCGCAGACCTTTAATCCCAGCACTCGAGAGGCAGAGGCAGGTGGATCTCTGTGAGTTCAAGGCCAGCCTGGTCTCCAAAGTGAGTTCCAGGAAAGGTGCAAAGCTACACAGAGAAACCCTGTCTCCAAAAACAAAAACAAACAAAAAAAACCCCACATACATACACATATATATATATATATATATATATATATATATATATATATATATACATATATATCACACATATATATATATATATATATATATATATATATATATATATATATATACACATATGTATATGTGTATGCATGTATGTATGAAACAACAGTTTTCAAGACACTGGACATCAGACCATGAAGGGTACTGGTCCCTGAAAGATGGAGAATGAACGAGATGAGTCTTCCCGTTGCTCAGCTCACTGCTCACACCTAGAGGAACTTTCCAGGTCACTGGGCAGCGGGGAGAAATCGGGACAGAATCTAACAGACCCCCATGCTGAGGAAACAGCTTGAAGGACCCAGAGGTCAGACAGGTCCTAAGCCACTTACCTGCATCCCAGAAAGCTGAAGAATACTTAGAAGAATACAAAAGCCTCCAGCACCCAGCAAGACAGAAGTCACAATGCTCCGCATCCCACCACAGGTTACAAGACATAATGAAATAGGAAAACAGCTCAAATGAAGGAGATGGAAAGTCGACAACTCAGACACACGGTGTCTCAGTGATATGACACTTGCCTATATGCCTAAGGCCCTGGGTTCGACTACCAGCATCAAAAATCAATAATCAGAAAGTGCATCTATCAAAACAAGATCCCAGGACCATTTGAAATGGACTCAGAAGCGACACCGATGTTAGAACAGACAGGACACTGATGTCCGTGCTGTGACTGGACCACACAAATGTAAAACACCAGAGATCTGAAAGATACTTAAAAGTCCAAGTTGGCTGGGCATGGTAGTGCACACCTGGGATCCCAGCACTCAGGAGGTTAAAACAGGGGGACTTCTGGGAATTCAAGGCTAGCTCAGGCTACACAGTGAGTTCCAAGTCAGCCTGGGCTACAAAGTGAGACCCTGTCTCAAAATAACAACAGAGGTCCCAAGTTCCTACTGAGATGAAAAGACAAAATGTCTGAAACACACTGAGTAACGAGCCTAGGGTAAGATCTCTCTTGCCCTAAACCTTTTTCCAATCATGGGGAGCCTGTGTTCAAAATGTGCAAGAGGCGGATTCAGGCAGGAAACAAGCGGGGTCTCCCAGGATCTCTCTGTGCCCATTTCCACACCCACCCCAACTCATGCCCACCCCAGTTGTGGATTCTGCAAGCCTCCCAGGCACGTGCATTGCACACGTGGGGTCTGCAATGAGGAAGGACTCATCTCTAGGTCCAAGCGGTCTCTCACTTCTAGGCACACCCCCTTTCCTTGGGACCCTGCCGTCAGAGGTGTCTGCAGCTCACATCTAGAGGGACACTGCACTGGCTAGTTCTATGTCAACTTGACACAAGTTAGAGTCAGCAGAGAAGAGGAAGCCTCTACTGAGAAAATGACTCCATAACATCGTGCTGTAGGGAGGCCTGTAAAGCATTTTAATTAGTGATTGATGTGGGAGGGCCCAGCCCATGGTGGGTGGTGTCACCCCTGGGCTGGTGGTCCTGGGTTCTATAAGAAAGCAGGCTGAGCAAACCATGGGGAGCAAACTAGGAAGCAGCACCCCTCCATGGCCTCTGCATCAACTCCTGCCTCCAGGTTCCTGCCATGCTTGAGCTCCTGCCCGGATGTCCTTCAATGATGAACAGTGGTGTGGAAGCATAAGCCAAATAAACCCTTTCCTCTCCAAGTTGCTTTTGGTCACGGTGTTTCATCACAGCAGTAGAAACCCTAACTAGGACAGACGTACACCCTGCTCACTGAGTGAATGTGAGAGAGACAGGAGAGCTGGCAGCTGAGACAGGGATCCAAGTGAGGCCCCAGACACTGAACACTTGCCTTTCCAGAATGGATTTTCTGTCCTAGGATTCTGCCCATGGGAGCCTTGTTCCTCATCGCCGCTGAGCTGATGGTCGTTTTCCTCAGAGTCCAGCTGCTGGATATCTTGAAAGTCCTTCTCCATGGTGGGCCCCGAGGACTGGAGCTGAGTTAAGGTTTTCTTGGAGCTGGAACTTGGGTTTACGCTAAGAAGCAAATTCCTGTGGAGGGACTGATAGGACCTGAGTGGTTTTGGTGAGTGGTTTTGAGGCTGGAGATTAGCTTGGGATAAGGCTTGAAATACTGCAGGGTTCCATCTCTTCCCAGGAGACTGTCTGGCTCTTGGCACAGCCAGGAGCCTTCCTACCATACTCTTATGGACCAAATTATACGGCATGTTCCCATTCCTCCCCCAGTGTCCCTGACCCATGTTCTTTTTTAGCCCTAGACATCCCCAGTCCCACCTGCCTCCCCCCACCTCAGTAACCTGTTAAAGGTCTAGAGAGCTACCTCTGGCTTCCGACGGCAGCCCACGCACAAGGAGAAAGAGGGGTTAAACCTGGGAGAACTGGACAGGCGGTGCCAGATGAGAGAGGAGGGGGTGGGTCTAGGCGAGAGCCGGGTCCCTGTGTCTGAGTGTCCAAGTCCATCTAACCTGTCACCTCCTGCCCCCCGGGACTTTGGACAGTAAATAGAAACAGAAACACAGTTGGAAACGTGGACAGTGAGCCGTGGGGGTGGAGGACATGTTTCTGTTCTCACAGCAGAGAAAGGAGAAGGGGCATCCCCTTGTACGTACGTACACACACACACACACACACACACACACACACACACACACACACACACACACATCACTCCGCCCCTCATTGCACAATGTAGGAAGGAGAGCCAGGTGTGGAGGGGCCAGGATCCAGTTTGCTGCTTCCTCCCCACCCCTCCCCCGTTTCACTTCCTGCCTCTTCATTTTCCAGAACTGTTGATGTTTCCAAATATCTTGGATCAGAGTGACCTACAGATCAGTTCCCTGTTCTTGCCCAATCTGAGCCTGTGACTCTGGCGCCAGCCACAGCCACAGCCACAGACAGTTTCCTATGCACTCAGCACCAGGGTCCCCACTCCGGCCTGGCTCACTCACACTCCTTGTTTCTCCCTCCCCAAATCCTTCCAGATCCTTACCTCCCACCTACCCAACTTTATGTCCCCCCTTCTCTAAAAAAAATAAAAAATAAAAAAAAAGTCAAAGCCAAAGACCAATAAGACAGAAATAAAACAGAACAAAAAAAACACCATGAAGTTCATTTTGTGTTGGCCAAATACTCCTGGGCCTAGTGGAGTGTGGTTGATATACCCAGTGAAACTCCATTCGGAAAAAACAGATTTTTCCCTTCACCATTGGGTATCAGTTGCAAATAGCTTCTTGGTTAGGAGCGTGACCCAGTGTCCACCTCCCCCTTTTAGTCGGGAGAAGTTTGATGAAGATATCCCACTTAGGACTGAGTGCTCCAAAGATCCTCACTCTGCACATTGCTCAGTTGTCGGCCTTAACTCTTGAGTAGGGAAGTTCCTCAAAATATGGGGAGTCGTGACCCTGGCACCACACTGAGTCCAGGAACACAACCATCTCTCCATGCCCTGCTAGAGTTGCACAGTGTCTCTAAAGGCTGGGGAGGTGACTCAGAGGGTAAGGCAATTGCTTTGTAAGCGTGACAACTTGAGTTCGAATCCCCAGCACCCGCCTAGGAAGCCAGGCATGGCAGCACACACCTACGATGCCAAGACATCAGGGAATAGAAAATGACAGGCAGATCATATCAGTTTGGGTCTAAAATGTCCCCCCAAAACTCGTGTGTTAAAGTCTTGGTCCCCAGACTATAACACTATTGGAATACGAGGAAATTGTGAGAATGGGGCCTGCTGAGCGGGATTTCCGTGTTGGAAGGCATGCCTTCACGAGGAGGCTGAAATCTCAGTTCTCTCTCGGCTCCCCCTTTCCAGTCAGGAGCCAAGCAGCCTCGCTGCGCCTGCACGCTCCGTCATAATGTGCTGCCTCCCCATGGGGCCAATCAACAGAGCAAATGTATCACAGATTGAAACCTCTAAAACCACGAGCCAAAATAAATCAGTTGATGCATCTCAAATAGCTGTAGTACTGGATCCGTTCTGATGACTGTTCAAAAGCCAGTCCTCGGGACACGAGAGCTGGAGGACAGGAAGTCATTTTTATTCAAAGGCTGGTATCCCGGATAATGGGAAGAGCTACTGTCTATGAGAACCATCTTAGAGAACCCAGGTTCGTGATAGGCTTTTAGGGGTAGGAATTACAGTGGGGGAGGGGGCAATAGACAGGAGGAATGCATTCGGAGTCATGGATCTAGGTTCTATAGCCATCTTTGTTACTGGGGAGGGATTTTTTTCTTTCTCTTTTGCTGGAATATCTTTATGAAAACCAACAGTCTTCATCTCCTAGGCCAGCTACAATAATACTTTACAAAAGATGGAGAGATGACTCAGTGTTTCAGCTCACTGGCTGCTCCTCCAGAGGACCCAGGTTCGATTCCCCAGCACCCACACGGTGACTCACAGCTGTCTTTAGCTCCAGTTCCAGGGGATCTGACATGCTCTTCTGGTCTCCTCAGGTGCTGCACACACGTGGTACACAGACATACATGCAGGCAAAACACCTACAAATAAATCATTTTTTTAACTTTAAAAAACATGCTGTTTTCTGCAAATTAAATGAAACCCACACTTCCTCTTTTAGCGAATGAACAGAATTAGACTGTGTGTTTTGTGATAGTTGGTCCACAGCCTGCACTGTGTGGGGATCACCAGACGACTTTTAGAGTAAAGTCACTGCAGATCAAGTTTTTCAGCCCATGTCTTTTTAGCTTTTTTTCCAAAGAAGTGCGAACCTCGAAGTTTGAGATACAAAGCGGGAGGGCAGCAGCAGGCGGCTTCTACTGAACGAGTTTTAACCGCTAGAAGGCTTCAGTCAGAGGCATCACCCACAGCTAAGCTACCAAGGGCTGAGCGCACCCGGCTCCGCTGTGGAACCTACAAATTAGTGGACTCCCACCACCACCCCCTAATTTGTTACTTTAAAGGCAAAAAAGAAAATGTAAACGTTTGCTTTTCTCCTCTGTATTTTAAAGAGCCCGTCACTTCCTCTGACAAAGTCTACCTCAATCCCCAGGCAGCCTAAGACAGACTTTCCTCTGCTGGGATGGGTGCAACGAATGAGTCACCTCACTACCGCCATTCCACCCAGATGTCAGAGTCGTAGTGCCCTGGAGACTGCACTGGGAGAAGATGAGGCCTTTTAGGAGGTAGTGTAGGTTAATAAAGTAGTAAGAAAGGGCAGTAGGGCCAGGCGGTGGTGGCACACACCTTTAAGCCCAGAACTCAGGAGGCAAAGGCATGTGGATTTATTTCTGTGAGTTCGAGGCCAGTCTGGTCTACAGAGAGAGTTCCAGGATAGCCAGGGCTACTCAAAGAACCTGTCTCAAATAAATAAATAAAATTTTAAAAAAAATTAAAAAAAAAAAAAAACAAGAAGCCTGGTGACCTCACAGAAAAGAGGACCGAGACTGTGGCTCAGTGCTAAAGCGTTTGCTTAGTATTGTAAGACGCTCAGTTTGATCCTCCATAAACACACGGACAGTTCTTGATGAGGACACTGAAAGTGGCTGTCCACAGCCAACAGATCCAGGCCCACCGATCTTAGACTTCTGACCCCCAGAACTACAGGAAAAAAAAAACACACTTACGTTTCATACTTTATTATGGAAGTCCAAATAGACTAAACAATAGCCAGGGAAACTAAAGAAAACTTAACATATGATGGTTCAGCAGAAGAAAGAAAGAAAGAAGGAAAGAGAGAGAGAGAGAGAGAGAGAGAGAGAGAGAGAAGGAATGATCTCTTAAGATGGGCTTACTGGGGAGGGAGACGGGATAATGGACAGAAACACAGAGAGGGTGACCGGGTCTAGCGCTCTAGCATAGTAAAGTAACTATAGGTAACAGTATCTACCGTATACTTAAAATAGCCAGAAGCCTGGATGCTACTATGTCCAAAACAATGGAAACGCTAATTACCCCAACTTGATCAACATCAAAATGTCACACTGGACCCCACAAACGTGTACAATCTAGAAAGGAAAAAAAATAGCAGTAAGCAGAGAAAAAGGTTGGTTTTTTTTTTCCTTTTTCTTTCTTTCTTTCTTTCTTTCTTTCTTTCTTTCTTTTTTTTTTTTTTTTTTTTGGTTTTTCAAGATAGGGTTTCTCTGTGTAGCTTTGCGCCTTTTCCTGGAACTCACTTGGTCCAGTCCAAGCTGGCCTCAAACTCACAGAGATCCGCCTGCCTCTGCCTCCCGAGTGCTGGGATTAAAGGCATGCGCCACCACTGCCTGGCTCGAGAAAAGGGTTTTATAATCTGTAATCTATATGATAAATGAATTAATCATACACACACACACACACACACACACACACACACATAGATACACACACATATATATAAAGCAAGGACAGGAAATCACAAGAAAGCAACAACTGATAAAAGAAACTAATTTCTGAGGAACCGTCTTGAGTCAACCAGGGATTGTTCACTTTGAAATACAATAAAGGATGTGAGATGCTAACTGATGAACGGTGGAATCCTATGTCTGTGACACGCGAGACAGAAATGCTGGAGTACCCCAAGCTGCAGACCTAAGGAAGAGATGTATGCCCCACGTTCGCAGCACCACCCTTTGCAGTAGCCAACGGCGAAGGCAACGTGAGTGCCCACAAATGTCCACCAACAGATGAACGTGTACCTGTGAATACCCATAAGGTGGAATAGTACTCAGTCATAAAAGGAAGGAAATGTTGACACGTTGCAATGTGGATGTAGATTAAGTCATATGCTTAGGGAAATAAGTCAGTCACAAAAAAAGCAAATACCTTCTGACTCCATTTCTATGAGGTGCTTAGCGAGGTCAAACTGACAGAGACAGGAAGAACAGCTATCATCTGGGGCTGAGAGGGCACGAATAGAAAGCTGCTTAATGGGTACATGCTGAGGGCCGCAGGAATATATCATAAGAACTCAGCTGGTTATGGCCAAGTCACTACCTGGAGGGATCAGGGAATTCCTCCAGAGGAAGCCAAATCCCAAGGAGTTTTTGGTGTTACTTGGCTTGTTATATATCAGCTGTCTTCTGTTATGAAAATCATGTGTGCCTTCATAGTTTTCCCAATTGACTTTTCCCTAAGAAGGGCTAACAGTGAAGACTGATCACTCTCTGGATATACACATTCCAGGTATTTGGAGAACAGCCTCAGGAAAGGCTTTCTCTGGAATCAGATATCTCCCTTAGCCACTTTTAAGGAGTAACAGTAATAACAGTCCACATGCAAGTCTCCTGATTT